ACTGGACTGAAGCAGCTCAGCTTTACTTGATTCTCCATCAGTCATTTTTTTTAGACAAATCAGCGAGTCTCGAATCTGATCATCAGGGGCCAGTTGTTCAAATGTAATCTGATTGGATTTTGGCCATCGGATTGGATCAAATCTTGAAAATGGGTTGTTAAAAAAAAAGAAAATAAAAAGGATTCTGTTTTCGGATTAGATCACAAAATCCAATCTTGGCTTTGATCAGGATTAAATCCTCGGTTTGTGTTGTTCAGAACGTTTTAGTAAGATCGGGATACTTTTGATCCCCCCAAAAAACGGGATTATTCTGATCCCAACAGAAGAGTGGATTTCAGGAAAAAAAATGTAATAAAACTTATTACAAATACAACATTTGTAACGTAATATATCCCCAAATCCCCAAACAGCTGTCGATATCAAACAAAAATATTATATTTAATTTAAAGTAGTGCTGTCAAATGATTAATCGCGATTAATCGCATCCAAAATAAAAGTTTTTGTTTACATAATATATGTGTGTGTACTGTGTTTATTTATTATGTATATATAAATACACACACATTAAGTATATATTTTGAAAATATTTACATTTATATTATTATATTCTATATAAATATATTTAATATATAAACATAGCATATTTTTCTTAAATATATTCATGCATGTGCTTGTATTTATATATACATAATAAATATACACAGTACACACTCATATATTATGTACACAAAAACCTTTGTTTTGGATGCGATTAATCGCGATTAATCGTTTGACAGCACTAATAAATACATATATAGAGCAAACCGAGAAACAGTTAGCTATAGGCCTAGTGTCTGAATTATCATGTTAAATTAAGTTGGCAATGTTGTCCAATAGCATCGCATCTTTATAGATTTGACAGATGAATATGTAGAAATCACATTGTCTAGAGTGCCAGTGGCACATGACAAGACCAAGACAGTAGATGCTTGTTTTAGCTGTATTTTCACAATAACATACTATAAAACCACTTTTAAGTGGCTTCTCGTGATGTCTGTTTGTTCATATATTCTCATAACATCCTGCACACTTTGACCTATTTCTGAACTTTATATTGCAGCTATCAAACAAAAGTTGTGATTTGTCATATTTTACTGTGGACAGATGTCGTTACACATTTGGTCAAACTCCACTTCTTGACTGCAACGCAAACAACATGGAAGTCTTCATAATAGACCAGGCACAATACTGTGAGGCTTATGTAATTGTCATAACAGCTCAAAAAACAGTCAAATATGGACATAAAGCTTTTTAAAGTTTGACTCATGATTGTGTGGTGATTGCTTTGAGAGAAAAATTCAGCAGATAACAAACAATTTAGGGTGACACTTTAGTTTAGAGGCCAATTCTCATTATTAACTAGTTGCTTATTTACTTGGCTGTTTATTAGTACTTATAAATCACATATTAATGCCTTATTCTGCTTGACCATATTTTGGATCCCTTAATCTTACACCATCCCAAAACTTAAATGCTACCTTACTAACTATTACTGACTAAATAAGCAGAAAATGAGTTGAGAATGAGAGAATGTTTATTGAGTTAATAGTGAGAATCTGTCCCCAAACTACAAATATAAACATAAAATAAAATTATTTATAATGATTCTAATAATAAAAGAGATTCAATGATTGTAAATGTTATAGTGCATTACTATGTTGATAGTGTCAAATATGGCTATTCTGTGGACAAAATTTCATTAAGCACTGCCGCTATTTTCACTTTTAGCACTTTTAGTACATATATTCTCAAGTAATGTTTAAAGGTAAATTAACTGCGGAGTTTCCAAAGCAGCGCATTTTACGTGGAGCAACAGCAACACCTGGAGAAAAACTGAAGAATAACACGGTGTGCATCATGTCACGACAGACTAAAGGAGACTTTACAATGTTTTATAATTGTAATCAATATTAAGACATAGTCCTCAGCTCAGTATATTTTAATGCGTTTCAATGTCATACAAATAATTTTTCTAACAGATAATAAACAGATAAGGAAACACAAACTTTGACGAAGCTAGCAAAAAAGAAAAGCTGTCAATAGAAACATGAAGAGGGAAGAATTCACCATGAAAAATTATAATAATTAGATTGAAAAAAAATATCTCAACCAGACAAATTAAGTAGAAAAACTCCCTAGTCAATAAAATTAAGTCAGCCACAGTCAAATTATGGTCCCTCTGGTTGGTCTACTACCTGTTTGAGAATAAAGAACAGTTAAAACAACATCAAGGAGCTTTTTATATAGGCTATTGTATTCCTCTAGAACTCAGTGTTACCTTTTTGAAGAGCTTAAGGCCAAAGTAATTAGTTGCCATGTTCTTCAGTTTGGTTGCACCACCAACTTTGCATCGCACATATCCATATAGGTTTGCCCACTGCAGCACAACTCCCATGATCACAACCGCCTGCGTGCACACACACACACACACACACACACATATATACACTTTTATTTTGTATTTTGGATGCGATTAATCGCGATTAATCATTTGACAGCACTACTTTAAAGTGTTTTTTTTATCATTGATTGTAAACTACATTTGCACAATCATCAGAGACGGACCAGTCAGAAGTAGTTATTTGTGTAAATGCAATGCAAAACTAAATGCAAAACATTGATTGATTGATTTACAAGCATCTGAATTTCATCATATAAATACCAGGATCTGAACCAAACTGCATATTAATAAAACTGAGCTGTTTTCCTTCATATTCTCACTATATCAGACTATATGAGCCATAAAAACCTGATGCATCAAATATAATACAAAACATAAAACACATATGCAAACTTAAATTTATAATAAATACTGTAAATATTTTGTTTCAAGGCCAACTTTTGCATTTCAAATAATTTACATTTTTGACTTTATTAAAACATAGAAACACGACATTAAGCAAAAGAAAATTTGTTTTGTGTTTTGTTATCTATTATTTTTTTGTATGCCTGATTATTTTGTCTTCACCTATTTTTGGTGTGTTAATTATTTAATGCTTGAATAAATTAGTCCAAGATATGATGGCACAATATCTGAATGATTATGTCATTAACGAGCAAAGAGCATCTCAAGTGCTTCAGTTCATAAACTCGGATGTGTTTCTGGGTCAAAGTGGCTCTGATGACGCATATTATCTTTAACACATGATCTCTGGCCTTGTATTGCAGTCATAAATAAAGGACAGGAACGCTGTCTTCACCTCCTGGCAGTACTGCAGGATTCCCTCTTTTGTCCCGATGCAGCTCTTGCTTCCGGACGGATCGGGTTCCCATTTCCCGGTCTGAACGTTGATGTGCATGTTGGGTTTCCCGCAGAACATGGCGATCTGCGGCTCGGCAAACAGTCCGGTACCGGAGTCCGACGGCACCTGCGACAGAACACAAGCATGAGCTCTTCATTAAAAACCTCGCTTCACTCTGAAATACAGCACATTATGGAAGTGAATGAGTTTGAATGCATTCATGTTCTTATGCTTTTTATGAATAAATGTGACCCTGGAGCACAAAAGCAGTCTTAAGTTGCTGGGGTATATTTGTAGCAATAGCCAACAATACATTGTATGGGTCAAAATTATTGATTTTTCTTTTATGCCAAAAATCATTAGGATATTAAGTAAAGATCATGTTCCATGAAGATATTTTGTACATTTCCTACCGTAAATATATAAAAACTTACGTAATATGCATTGCAAAGAACTTCATTTGAACAACTTTAAAGGCGATTTTCTCAATATTTAGATTTTTTTGCACCCTCAGATTCCAGATTTTTAAATATTGTCCTATGCTAACAAACCATACATCAGTGGAAAGATTATTTATTCAGCTTTCAGATGATGCATACATCTCAATTTCAGAAAAATTGACCCTTATGACTGGTTTTGTGCTCCAGTGTCACATATATGTTGAATTCATATAGAAAAACGTAGGAAATGTATGCAAAATGACAATAGCAAACACTATAGTATACTAAAGTATGGTTCAAAAACACTATAGTATTTTTTCACGTGGGCAGATTTACTAAAGACGCGGAGTGAAGAATTAGCTCTGAAAATGCGTGGACAGTTATTTTTGCATCTGAACTTACTGAATATGCATTTGTAGGAGTTTCCCTTTCAGACGCAAAATTTATGGGAGGAGAGTATTTAAAACGAATCACGCAACGCGATTTACTAACGTTTGCCCTCGTCAAATTACTAGTATTTGCACACGTATTATACACATGAATACTGCATTAACGAATAATTTCTGAAACGATTCACTCAATCTGAACAAGAGCTGTTGGGCGTGATTGACAGGCCTAGCAATGGTAACTAAGGTGGGCGGGGCTTAGTGAGAGATCAGAGGATTTGAGTCACATGACCTCCTGCTGTCGGATCACACCTGCTGACCGTAAACCATCATGCATTGTGAGCCATGAATTAGCAACATCTGAAGAAAAACATTTTCTCAAGTGAAACCTGTTAAAAATCAACCACTGAGCAAATATTTCATCAAACGACATTAATATGTGAGTAACTGTGTTGACTTATGAGACTGAACATTAACTACCGCAGTCAGCCACTGGAAAACTAGTATAAATGACCAAACCAGCCCAATCCACTTCCACACTCAATCACACACTGAACTGAAAACCTAATATCACAGTAACAGTATATACTATTTATATATGTATGAATGAATGAATGATGCATTTGATGCAACTGCTCTAAGAAAGTGCGGCTTGACTCTTTGAACTTTGCACACTTTAATGTTCGTTCACTGAACAATAAGACTGCTAAAATGTATTATTATTATTATTATTATTTGTATAGCGCTTTATTGTGTATTGCTGTACACCCAAAGCGCTTTACAATCATGTGGGGGGTCTCTCCTCAACCACCACCAGTATATATAGTATATATCAGTCAGGCTGGGTTCTGTCCCGTGTGACGGTCAGATGAATGTCTGTCCATCTGCTGAGCTCTTGTCACATTTACATGCGAATACAGCGCTGTGATTGGGATGAGTGTTATCAGAGCAGCTCAGGACCTGTGTGTGTGTGTGTGTGTGTGTGTGTGAGATTGGGATTAGATGGACGGGCCAGAACAACACCTCACACCTGAATACTGCTGGCTTCCGGTGTCATTTGTTTTCATGAAATTTAGAATATTCCCCTTATTTATTTCCTAGATGCATTTTGTTTTCAGCCATGCTCAGTGTTATTCTTTGTTGCATTTATAGTTTTTTTTCTGTTGTACAAAAGCAGTGCTGAAATAAAATGAAATACATTTTTTGATCCAGCAGCTGTGAAACCTCATGCCACGATCGCCAGCACCGCTCTTACACACACACACACACACACGCACACGCACACACACACACACACACACACACACACACATTTGTGTGTGCACTGTAGCACACAGTGGACGTCCGCTTTGGGAATAAACAGGAGCAGGAAGCAGAAAGAACCGCCCATGAACCACTTTACTGAAGAAAGATTGTTTCTGCCATATTTGTGAAATTTACTAGTAATTTCTGAATGGTAATGAATGGTAAAACAATAAAGTAAAAATTAGAAGAAAAAAAAAGTCATAAGCAATTTTTTGAAGTATGTTTTACAAGAAAATACTACTTTCAGTCAATGTTTAATTCAAAATTACTTACCATTTCTTTGCAATTTTCTGTAAAATTTACAAGCAATTTGTGAGTGAAATTTGTTCCAAAGTACATTCATTCATTAAGCAGTCTTTTACACCCCCCCCAAAAAAAACACAAGCAATCTTTCAAAAGAGTATTGAATAAAAAAATCTAAAATACTATTTCAGTCCTTCAAAATGTACTGTTTAAATCAGCGTAATTATGTATAAATTTACTAGCAATTTCTGAGCAAAAATAGTTTTTTTTCAGCAATTTTTGCAAAGATTGTTGAAGTAGGCCAGTCTTTCAGTCTTTAAAAAAATGTCATGTGTAATTCAATGTGCTCTCACCATTTATTTGTAAATATTTGTGAAATTTACTAGTTATTTCTGACTGAAATTGTTCCAGTCACATTTAGTCATTATCCATATAAAGAGAGTATAGCAAGCAATTCATCATATGATGCAATACGAGCATACTAAATCCCACACCAGCTTTTCTCAGTGCATGAAATGCATTAGTGTTTTTTTAAGCGAAATGAATAGTAGTCCTACTGAACTACTGAACCTGATGACATCTACACAGTGATTCTCACGCTACTGTATCAACATCACTTCAGCTCTATTTACAAATCAGCTCCAAAACGAGAGGAAGACTGAAACGCTGAGGAAGGAGAGCAGAGACGGGTGCAGCTCTCTCTCTCTCTCTCTCTCCAGAGAAACACTATATATAGAACGACCGAGAGAAGAAACCCACGAGACCACGACACATCTGCAGTCCTACAATTACTGCATCTGATGCATTTCAGCTCAACAGCACTGCTTTAAGGAGAAATCTCCATTTGTGACCCTGGAGCACAAAACCAGTCTTAAGGGTCAATTTTTCAAAATTTAGATTTATGCATCATCTGAAAGCTGAATAAATAATCTTTCCATTGATGTATGGTTTGTTAGGATCGGACAATATTTGGTCGAGATACAACTATTTGAAAATCTGGAATCTGAGGGTGCAAAAAAATCTAAATATTGAGAAAATCATCTTTAAAGTTGTTCAAATGAAGTTCTTAGCAATGCATATTACTAATCAAAAATTAAGTTTTGATATATTTACGGTAGGAGATTTATAAAATATCTTCATGGAACATGATCTTTACTTAATATCCTAATGATTTTTGGCATAAAAGAAAAATCTATAATTTTGACCCATACAATGTATTATTGGCTATTGCTACAAATATACCCCAGCGACTTAACACTGCTTTTGTGCTCCAGGCTCACATTTAACAATGCAAAAGCTGAACTGAAGACAATGCAAACCCACCAGTGTGTTCTTACTGTATCTATCATAAACCAGGCGAAAACTGAACGTTCGTTTGCTTATAAAAGCTGAACAAGAAACAATCATTTCGCAAATAGTATAATAAATCAGTATAAGCTGATAACAATAATAACTGCAGCAGTTTCACATTTATTTGTAGAGATTTTCACAATAAATCATTTCAAAGCTGCCTTATAGAAAATTAAACAATGCCATTATTTACGTATTTGCTCTCAAATCAGTTAAAAGGGTATTTAATGCATGAAACGAGTAAAATCTACTTTAAAAACAGTTCATTTATACATTCGTTTTGGGATGTTATACATAAAAAAAAATGTACCCATGTTTTACTAGACTGTTACAAGACTTCAATGAACAAATTAATGATGTTGAATCGTATTTATTCAAATGCACTAATAAACAGCAATATGTATCGACATATATTTTACTGACACATTTCAAAACATGAAAAATGCTACAGGGAGATCAGTGTTATTATGGTTTTTATTAATATTTTGAATCATTTAAAATCATTTTTATATTTTCTGTTTTTATATACATTTTATTTTAATGTTGTTTTTTAATAGTTTTAATAGTAAACGTTCATTTTTAATAGTTTATTAATTAGTTAAACTAAATTAAAATGAGAAATATTGCATTGACAACTAGCTGGAAAAAATTAAAATCTTAATTGTAGTCATTTAAAGCATAGAAATTGTTTTTTAATGGTTTCATTTTAGTTTTAGTTAACTACAATAATAACCCTAAGGGAGATTTTCAGAAACATTTCTGAGTGATAATCGATTCATTTTTATTCATATGCACCAATAAACAGTAATAGATTTCACTGTATGTATGATTATATATCAAGGCTAAAGGCCTGTAAGTTCATTTGCTTATAAAAGCAATAAAACTCCTCTGCTTAACATTTGAGGAAGCACTGATTTCACAAATTAATCTGTATAAGCAATATCAAGATGACAATAATAACCGCAGCTGTTTCACATTTATTTGTAGCTGTCCTCACAAATTACAAATCATTTCAAAGCTGCTTTACAGTAAACGTGTGTAAACAGAAAAATATATGACATTATTTACATATGTGATCTTAAAAGGCCATTTAATGCATAAAAATACAGTCAAAATCTAGTTAAAAACCCAGCTTTTCACTAAGCAATGAATAATACTTTTTGATTTTTGGGAAAAACCTGCATATGCAATGCTTCTTCATGTCACTAAAACTACTATTATTGCAATTTATGCATTAAAACTAAACGGGTCAGAGTAATAAATTCATCATAACTGTGAGATATATAAATATATGACATATTACATTTACATTTAGTAATGTAGCAGATGCTTTTATTCAAAGCGACTTACAAATGAGGACAACGGAAGCAATCAAAGAGAGCAACATAATGCATTATTATAAATTAACATTTAATGCATTAAATACAATAATTTTATTTAAAACAGTTTTTTACTGTATCATGAATCATATCTATCTATTTATTTTTATTTATATGCACCAATAAACTGCAATATGCATGTACATATATTTTACTAAAACATTTTAAAATAATAAAATTGCGATGAGATCAGTGTTATTTTTTAATTTTAATTAGAGAGTTTTTATTAATTTGATTTTTTTTTAAAAATATTTCCTGTTTTCATTTTAATGTTAAAGTTTTACAAATTTTATTGTGTGCTTTTGTCATTTTAGTATTTTTTTTTTTTTTGTATGTCTATATAGTATTTATTATTGTTTATTTCAGTTTTAGTTATTTTAGTACATCAAGTTACACTAAATTAAAATGAGAACACCTGCCTTGGCAACTACCTGAACATATTTATATTCTATATTGTATTTTAGTTCAGTTAATGTTTGTTTTATTTCAAGTAAAGAAAATGTTTTTTTTTAAACAGTTTTAATTTTAGCTTGTTTTAGTCAACGACGATAACCCTGGCAGAGACGTTTGTAAATATTTCTGAATAACAACGCAAATGAATTGTTGATGATTAATCATATTCATTCATTTTTAATTATGTGAAGAAATAAACAGTAATATCTACATGCATATTTTATGCACATATGTCTTAATATACATGAAGAGATTTCTGTGAGCGTTTCTGATTGATAATGCATATAAAAAATGTTTGAAAAATCAGAGTTTTGAACAGATTAATTGAAACACAAGAGATTGGGAATAACTGCTGCTAGTCTAACAGCACCTTCAATATTCAGATAAATAGAACGCATCTAATTCATTGCGATATTGTTGTTTAATTCTGTAAAATTACTGAAATCTGATCATGAACACTAGCTATTTATGGGCCAGCGCTACAGGGAGGTTTCGCACAAACTCCTCCTGATTGCACAGAAAGCTGTTGTGTTGGCTGTGAGTATCGTTTACCTGCTGACACGCATGTTACAGCCAACAAAGCCTCTCATTCAGAGCACAAACCCATCTCAAAGCTCGCCTCTCAGTGCCAGCCATCCCAGTGTGACCTTTACAGACTTCTGAATACAAGCGGATGACTGGCTAACTGAAGCACAAACAAGACAACATGCAATATGATGTTTATGCAAGGTACAGATGAAAACAAACACAATTCTGCAGCCGTTTATATTACTGTATGTGCAATCAAAAATACGCTGTGATACCACAATGCACTGTTTATTTGGCCAAAAACGTTCACAGAAATCTCCAAGTTAATATAGCTTGATGAAAACATGGGCAATTATTATTTAGATCACCATATCAGTGGATATAAATATAAAAAAGCATAAAAATTAAAAGTGCATTAAAAGTGACAAAAGTGCATGGGAAAACAGGTCATTATTGTTCATTTTACTTCTTGCAATTAAACTCTGGCATTATTGGCTGAAATGATGCTTCCTCTGGTTGACAAACAGAAAAATACGTAAACATTAAGATGCATATTAAATATATCTTCAACTGGCAGAGGAACACATAAAAGGCCATTTTTTAGCTCTATCACCCAGTCCGGGTTCCAATACTATAGTATAAACGTTTCCTGAACACACCGCGTGAGTTTATCTGCTTTAACATTTTTCCACGAGCGTGAAACATCTATCAAACCCTGGATTTCTAGACCTTTTGGTGGCAAGACCGACAAAACCACAATCCACCAAAACACTGTAACTAATAGCCGATCAATATCTTTACTCTGCAGCACAATAAACAGCAACATCCCATTACGGTCTCAAAAATGACTCTGCATGTGCTTCAGGCCAGTGCTGTTTACATCATTCATTCTCTCATTACACCGGTGGAATCTGAGGGTAATACCATGGTATTTTATACACAGATGATTACAATATTCACATATCATGGTATTGGCACGGTACCCCAATGCTCATCCAAAAATACCGTGGTTTATTCCCCAAAAAAACCACAGCACCTTATCCTTTAAGAGTCTAGGAATGGTGAGAATAGAGTGGAGACACGCACTGACTGCGGTGTGGAAAAGTACAGGCTTAGACCAACCCAGAGACAATGTGTCTTACAGTAAAAATACACTTAAACTGATTGTTAGCGTTTAAAAATAGCGCGTTCCTCGAAACACAATGTAGCTCCAGGCGCCATCTTTGGGGGCGTTCACACACAACGCGTTCCTCTGAACGGAACGGAACGCATTTAGCGATATCAGCGCAATGATTCATTTTATCGAGTCATGTTTGAAAGAAACATCGCCTAACAAAGGCTGAGGAAAGATCAAAGGCATCCCGACGTCAGAAAAATCATCTTCACACACACACACACACACACACACACACTCACTCTCTCTCACACACACACACACACACACACACACACACTCAC